TCGAGTTGACAGTCAACAACCGTATCTATGTCCATTTGTAACCATATCGCCTAAAGTCTATGGTGAGGTCTCCATACGAGAAGCTAGGGCCTCAAATCTCTAGGTGCATTCAAAGTCACTAAACATGTGGGATCAGTAGCCTATCAACCCATTCTATCCCCAACTGTAGGTATCCATCTAATCTTTTGAGTATCATAACTAAAACATGTTATTGGTCCATCATCCCTGCAAGCTTTGACCCCACTCTGTATATATAGTGATGGTGGAACTAGAGGTCAACCCTTATCTATTAGGACCCTCATAGTGTTAAGGTTCTGATCCATTAGAAAGACATTTTGGACTCCAAGAATACTTGGGAAGCAGTCAACCACCTTAGTCTCTAATTTCCTGAATTCCTCTTTATAGACAAGTTGAAAGTCCTAGGGGAATATCAATGAGATACTCACCAGCCTATTACATCTCCACCATAATTAGATTGTAGATTGTAGAAGAGAAGCAGCTTGTGGATATCGATGATGGATAATAGATGTTGAGGGAATGTGAATATTATAAAATGCTTGTGAGGGGGAAGTGAAAGAAGAGATGAAAATATTCCTAGTGGAAGATAGTTGAAGGCAGACCCTCCTCAAAGATAGTGATCTCTCTCTCTCTAATACTCTCTTTTTTCCCATTATCATTATTTACTTGGCCGAGAATGCTCTCCCTCTTTCTCTACTTTCTCCTCCTATCCTCCTATCATGGCCTTCTATTATCACGACCAGCCTCCAACTTCTGTAGTGAGATCTCTCCCCATCCAAGTCCTAGTAGACGTTCTCATGAGAACAAGAGTTAACATTTGACTAGGGCCGGAAAGAGGGAAAGGAGAGGGAGACTTATAAAGTGATAATAGGTTTTCGTTTATTGAAGACAATAAGCATTGTAATAATGCCATGGAACTATGGTTTATGCTGCTTTCTTTAATCATAAGATTTTATCTGCAGTACTACTTTTGCAGTGATATTTTTAGCAATTCAAGGCCATTGGGATAGAACTCGTCATTTATAATATTATTAATTTCATTTGCAGATCAGAAGACCAAGATCTTACAGCTCAAAGTAAAGTTGAGAATTTATCCATTGATTCCATAATAAGAGAACATATGATGATTTGACTATTTCAAACATGGATCATCACTGTTTTGTCACAAAATATCCACATTCATTTTCACAAGATTTTCTCACTACTTCTATCTAAAGTCTCTTAGTCCACAAAATCATGTCTTGCAAAGGAAAGGACCCAACCTAATCAGTCCTTGTCCGTATCTAGACCAGGTTTGGGCTTCTCTTTGGTTGGACCCAAGGCACACAGTCAAATTTTCCAACCCATTTCTCCTTTTCTCACCACTTCCACTCAAGTTCAAAGATGTTGGGTCCTGAGAGAACTATGCGGTGAGGACTCTGGTTCTAGACCCAAAAGCTACTTCCATCCTAGTTGGAAGATATTAATTTGTGAGAGAAACATGTGTTAAACACGATTCTGGTTCTAAACCAAGAGGCTCTTGGGATCTCCTTTGTCATTTTCTTATTATGATCTGTCAGTGTCACAAATAACCCCCAACCCCCCTCATACATTTACCCTTTTCAATTTATTGTTTTAAACTGCTCCCGTTTGTTGCAACTAGGATTTGCGTTTTTTCTAGTTATTATAATTTACCTAAAAAATAAATGGAAATTCATGTTTTCTGATATGCAGCAAGAAACTGCCCGATTCATATGGGCTTCATTGATGCTGACAGCTTATCGTTGCAGGTGTTACAGAAGGCTCTAGAGGTGTGGGATATGCATGTTATCCCCCTTGACTCGCCGGTTGCAGAGCCAACCAAACACGACCCTGAGAGAGAGAATGGGTACATCTGCCACCTATGCGGCCCCGGAGCATCTCACCAAGTTTTACCTCTCGGCATATCTAGAGACTCTAATGAGCTCCGGCTGGACCATCTTCGTGGTCAGGGGCAACTTCCCCGGGGAGTGTCCGATCCCACCCTCTGATTCATCGAATGGGTTCGGGCAGTGGCTCACACCTGAGGATGCCGAGAGGATAACAAAGTCATGCAATCAGAAGCGAGTCACTGAACAGAGAGCTGATGCGGGTGATGCGGACGAGATTTCCCAGGAAGAGGAGGCCGACCTCAATGCCGCCATACAGGCCAGCTTGATGGATGCCTCTGCATTTGCTGCCGATGGCTGCCAGACCACTGGTGAACCCCTGGACAGCGGCTCGCAAGCAGATGATACTGCGGGCTCCAGCAGCGGCGGTGGCGGTGGGTCCATGCTGGCCAGTTCTGAGAGGATGCTGAAGCCTTGTAGCCAGAAGGAGGATGCTACCTTTGGAGGCGATGCGCCAGCGCCCTCCATCGATGTTGAAGGTGGGATCTCAGATGAGGAGGAGGCAAAGCTCCTGAGTGCAGCGATCGAGGCAAGCTTGGCGGACGCCTCGGAGTTTGCCGCTGGGTTTACGGAGCAGGGCGACAGCAGCCACCATGGAGTCCACCGCAGATGATGAAGAAATTCCCAGGGAGGATATATGGCTGGCCATTATGAGACCTCTTCATGGCGCATTCAAGATCAAGATAATGCAGCGGCTCATACTCCTCATGCGCTATTATTCCTTTTTTTACCCCTTATTTTTTACTTCGGACTGCTGGGACCAGCCAATGTGAGCTTATAGATCATATAACTGTGCATAAAAGAACAAGTAGTATGTCGTGGGATGGTGATGATTGATGAGAGCTTCTATGAGCGTGTCTGCCCAAGGATTTTTCCTAGCGGTGATTCACGACGAGATAAGAAATTAATCTGACGATTTTTGTGCACCCTCTCTTTTATTTGTTGTCGAAAGAGTTGTGGTGTAACCCTGAATCTTAAACCTTAAAACCCCAATCTTGATCCCAAAAGTTGATGTGCTCGTCATCTGCCAGTCTTCTACGGAACGAATTGATAAATCTGATTTTTGTTTAACAGCTCTGTCAGGGGATAAATCTTGCGGGGGAGGGAGGGGGGGTAAGAATAACCAATTATAGGACTTTGTCTCATAATCTCGCATTAGCAGAGATGCGATCAAGAAGAAGATTTCCGGGGAAGAGAATTAGCTCCGTAATCGCAGAAAAAATAATGTAGGGGGCGTGTGGGTGGAATCTTCACGTCGCAAGAGGGGCAATCACGAACGGGCATCGCCATGGACGGCTCCTTCTGGAAGGCGGGTGCGGCTTCCCCGGTGGTTTTGACGCCGGGTGCCGCTTCTCCGGTGGTTTTGATAGCGAGATCGCCGCCGGCAGTGGCTTGTGCGGCTTCCCCGGTGGTTTTGACGGCGAGATCGCCGCCGGCTGTGACGGGCGCCGATTTGAGCACGCGGACCCCGAGGTAGAGCTTCCCGGAGTCTGCCCTGGGCACCGCGCGGCTGAAGCAGAAGCGGAGGACGTCGCCGGTGTGCAGCCGGTGGTTCTCGGCGAAGTGGGCCCAGCCGCCGCCGGACATCATGTAGTGGGTGGAGCCGAAGCCGCGGCTGCGCCAGAACACCGAGTACCTCCGGCCCTGCTCGTCCTGGATGGCCAGAGCCACCCCGCGACCGCTGTCGGCGAGGGCCTTCTCCTCCTCCGTCAGCACTCTCCCCACGGCCGCCGCCTTCTCTTGCACCACCCTCAGCCCGTCCTTGATATGTCCCTGGTCGAAGGCGTAGATCTTCCTCTCGAGCAGACAACGGGTTGAGTAAGACGATGAAGGCGAAGCCCGAGCCTTCTTCGCCGACGGGCGACGGTGGCGGTGGTGGTGGTGCAGCATGGCGTCAGGGGAAGAAGACCCACCGGCGGCGCGCTTCACCGGGGCCCGCTTCCCGTCGAGGGTGGTGCTCTTCCCGTGGCGGATGAATGAAGGCGGCGGCGGGCTCGGCGACGCATCTCTGGTAGTATAGCGCCACCCCATGATCTTCCCGCCACAGAGAGAGTTTCAGGAGGAGGAGAGAGGAGGGGCGGGGGGTTTATAGAGAGCTCCCTCAGGTCCTGTATTCCATCTGTTTACCGCGGCGCCTGGGCGGTATTTAAATGGCACGTTGGTGTTTAGAAACCCGGGAAGCTGCAATATCCCTTCCGCGTTTATCTCGACCGCTCCAACGCCCTCTCTCTTTCTCTGTCCGCATCTCCCGCGGTTTGTTCTCTGGTGGGACGAGCCGAACGGCGAAAGCGGACGAAATGGGAAGACAGCCCATATTAAAGTTGTTGAGCGACCTGGGAAGAAAGCCCAATACGTGAAAAGGCCCATTATGAATAGGCCAGAAGCGGTGGCGGAGAGTTGATTTCAGGCGGGAACGCCGGGATATCTGAAAAATCGACGTGGATTGTGGATCGTGGATCGCGCCAATAGGAAACTGGTTAGATAAGGTGTGGGCCCATTGGCAGGCCGGAAACCCGCGAAAGAAAAAGCGGCAAGAATTCCTAGCGTGTGATATTTGCATTTGGTCACTGTTGGTAGGCTTACCTTCCAGTTTCTCTGTCTGACCCAATCAAAGATTTGTTTCTCAGATTGGGTCATCTGACCGACATGGCGAACGTGACTCTCCGTCCTCCCCTGAGAAGAGGAGATGACAGGGAACCTCTCTCTCTCTCTCTCTACTCTTCCGTATCCATTCTTTATATAACTCGCATTCCATCGCGGCAAAAGCTTCTTTCCAACTGCCACGGTCGTCGCCTCTCTCCCCTCGCCCTGTTCCGATTGTTTTCTTGTGGATCTCCGCCGAGGGACCCGAGAGGCTCCCCGGATCGGAGGTGAGCGAGCGACGGCTGCTCTGTTGGGATCGGCGATCTGTGGTCTGCAGGTGTCGCTCTGTCCGGATAGGGCGTTTCGTTGTTCAATAAGGGCCTGGGAGTAGATTTGGGACTGCTTGGCGGGTGGTTGGTTCGGTCGAGGTGAGGGCGCAGGGGGAAGGTGCGATCGAAACGCAGAGGAGAGCCGGCGTCGGTGGAGGGAGTCATGGCTTTCGTAGGAACGCAGCTGAAGTGCAAGGTATGCGACAAGACGGTGTACATCATGGACCAGGTGTGCGCCAATGGCGTCGCGTATCACAAATCCTGCTTCAAGTGCAACCACTGCAAGGGCACGCTCAAAGTACAATATCACGCCTCTTGCCATTTCTTCCTTCCCCTTTGACATTTTATCTCTTTGCTCTTCTCGTTATTTCCATGCATATAAATTTAATTTATCGGAAGAGAGGAAGATGGGGAAGTCGTTGGATCCACTCTTATCCGATTCATTTGATTGCCTCATTTGATCAATGATTTATGCTGGATCTCTTATTTATTTTTCCCTGTACACTTGGGTTTTGATTCATCGGGTGATCTTTCTTTTTCGGAAGATCTGTTTGCATAATCAGGAGAATTTCTTTTTATAATTTGATTGTTTAAACCCATTGTCTATACCCTTTTCCCTTTAATATCGAGAAGGACTGACTTAGCCCATCCCTCATTCCCACTAGATTGAATATAGTAATTTAAAAAAAAGAATGGGGTGTCTCTCCTTTCTATTGCACCTGAGAATATTGAAATCTATAGTCTTTCCATAATCTATGAGGCACCATCAGGTATCTTTCTCTAGCAGATCAGTATAATGTTGTCTTACATTTCTTAATTTTTGTCAGTATTCATATCAGAGATCATCCTTGGATTGCTCTTCTGCTACAATACTATGAAAATGCTTACACTTATCCGAAACAATTTGAGATGTCCCAATCATTGAATTATTTCCTTGCGATGAATTTTTTCAGAGATGATTTCATCTCACAAGAGTTACCATCAGAAAGGTAGAAAGATGTTGTGATATAATGTAAAACGTCAGAAGCTGCATAAGGCTAATATATGATGTTGTGATAAATTTTGGAGACCAATAGAAACATGAACCTAACCTGTGATATGTTGTTAAAATCTATGCAGCTGAGCAATTTCTCCTCCAAGGAGGGTGTATTGTATTGCAAGCCTCATTTTGAGCTGCTATTCAAAGAGACGGGCAGCTACAACAAGAGCTTTCAGTCTCGTGAGACTATTCTTTGTTCCACTTTCGGCTTTTATGCAACCTTCCTTTAGAGTTTTCAGATAAAATATTTGCTAAGTATTTGCCCTTATGCAGCTGTAAAGGCAGCTGTGATGGGAGCTGAGAAGGTGACTCCAGCACTGGTAAAGTGGTTTTCCAATTCCTAAGACAGAAGGTTTTAGATTTTCCGTCGTTGGTCCATTTTGCCCATGATTTTCTGTGTTCTTTTTTGTGTGTTCTGACAGGTAAGAACTCCTAGTAAAGCTGCCTCCATGTTCTCAGGGACCCAGGAAAAGTGTGCCACTTGTGGAAAAACAGCGTATCCCCTTGAAAAGGTACATTATTAGTGAAAAAAAAGCAGTTGTCTTTCTTTTTTCTTTTGTTATGCATGTTGCTTGGGGTTTATTATTGATGATTTACTCAACATCTTTCTTAATGCCGTTGCATTTTCTCCAGTAAAGAAGAAATAAGGATGTGATAACAGAAAATTGATGTGATATTATATTAAAATAATTAGAAAATCGCTTCCATGAGCTTGATATTAAAATATTTGAAGCATCACCTTCTTACATGTATGAAGATGTATTGACACCGGAGTAACATGAGATGTGAGCGATATTCAAGCCTATGTGGAACCCTACTGGTAAAAACATCCTCTCTGACGTGGTACTAGGAGCTTGAAATATAACCTCAACAGATTTGCTCATAAGCAGCCTCCTCCTTGTATATTAAGTAGGATCAATTTATTCATGGCACGGTTTGATGGAACACTATCTAATGTATTAACAAGAGCGTGAGCTTGATTTGAAAGCTGAAGAATGAACAATGCTCTTGAAATTCTCAGATGGTCAAGTAGATGCCCTTCTTAGCCTCGGAAAATCTTAGAGAATTAAGTTGAACAACTACCTCATATAGCACCGTGGGCACATAGTTGAGATGGGGGTTTGGGTTATAAAATCTAAATTAGCTATTTTACATATTCGTCTAGATTCACATATCGTGCATATGATGAAGATTATTAGCTCCCACTTCAAGGATATCTCCACCGACGAATTTGCTAGAAGTGAATCATCTTGAATGGGATCTTCCTAGTTGTTATAAAGCAGGGTTGTAATTCGAACAGCATCCTTATCCTTGAAGAGTTAGCTAAATGGATGGCGCATGTCTTATCGCTTAGCTACAGATTTCTAGAGCATTTATCATCTCTTTTACAAGTGGTCGGCCTGCATGATCTGGTCATACCTTTTGCCGTCTCCCTGGAAACTAACCATTAAGAAAAGCCCATTAGGTTTTGTCCGACGCCCCTGAGAACCGGCACAGATGCAAGCTAGCCGATGACTTGATGTTCTGGAGGACATTCCTTCCTGCATAGTTTGGGAGGTTTATATTGTCCGGCCCATATATGCGTGGACATTCTCTTCTGAAGTAGCCTTCATCGGTCGTTGGAATGAACATTCGCCCGTCTATTCATCTTGTCCGGGGGTCATAATGGCTCAGTAGCGTCGCTTCACATTTCCGCTTTCATTCTATTGAGATTGAGTCATGATAATCAACTCGGTGCAATCTTGTAGCCGAAAAGGGGGACAAGTGGCGGACGGAGGAGGAACGTGTAAGATGGAGGGGAAGGAGAGGGAAGGAAGAAGAAAGAAAATGAGAGAAGAGAGAAGAAAAAGGATGAGGAGGATGAAGGGGCACATGGGAGGAGAGCAATTGGACGGAGAATGAAGGAAGAAGAGGCGGAAGAGGACGCAAGAAGAGAGGATGGAGGTCTGTCTCTGTAATTTTCTCAGAACCGATTATGAACGCTTTAATAGATTATACCAACCTACCTGCTACTACGAATGCCCGAGAGGGGAGACACCGAATGAAATCGACAGTCGTTTTGAGCTTCATACCCACCCATCACACCCACTGGAGACCTGCTCTGCATAAATGATCGCCCATTTATCTCCCTTTAGGAACCGGCTGCGGCTCTCACGTCGGCTGCTTATCTCTGGCTGTGGTGGTCAGGTGACCGTTGAAGGGCGGACCTACCACAGGTCCTGCTTCAAGTGCTTCCACGGGGGCTGCTCGATCACGCCGTCCAACTACGCCGCTCTGGAGGGCATCCTCTACTGCAAGCCCCACTTCTCCCAGCTCTTCAAGGAAAAGGGGAGCTACAATCACCTCATCAAGTGCGCCTCCGTCAAGCGCCCGGCGGCGCCGCCACCACCGGAGGCCTAATCCCGTCGACTCGCCGCCGGTCCATAATCTCGCGCAGGGCCATACACCCCCTGGTGTGCTCTCCTCTGTCTCCCAGTGGGCACCACTGCATGCCCTTGATGTCTGTTCTGCGTCATCTTCCCCGTTTGGTCTAACAGTTTCAATTTTGCACATTGTGGACCCTAAATCTTCAATTGATCGTGGCTCATGCGCTCCGATCCCACTGTAATTGTATTATTTTCCCGGTCAATTACTCGATGATTACCTTTTGTAGATCGATGGGTCTGGTCAGCCCAGCGTCTGGTTCTAGATTGTGTTGAGCAGAACAGAGAGAGAGAGAGAGAGAGAGAGAGAGAGAGAGAGAGAGAGGAAGGGTCTTTCCATAGCAGTGGGACTGTGAGGTTGGCGAGTATGTTTCAGATTCGGCCCGGTGCGTATTCATCTTTTTTCCCGCGTCGTGACACTTCGTCCGCTTTCGCCGTTGGGCTCGTCCCACCAAAGAAGGGACCGCGCGTGATGCGCAGAGAGAGAGAGTGGGAGAGAGGGAGAGAGGAGAAAGAGAGAGAGAGAGAGAGAGAGAGAGAGGGCGTTGGACCGGTCGAGATAAACGCGGAGGCGATATTGCAACTTCCCGGGTTTCTAAACCCCAACGTGCCATTTAAATACCGCCCAGGCGCCGCGGTAAACAGATGGAATACAGGACCTGAGGGAGCTCTCTATAACCCCCCCGCCCCTCCTCTCTCCTCCTCTTGAAACTCTCTCTGTGGCGGGAAGATCATGGGGTGGCGCTATACTACCAGAGATGCGTCGCCGAGCCCGCCGCTGCCTTCATTCATCCGCCACGGGAAGAGCACCACCCTCGACGGGAAGCGGGCCCCGGTGAAGCGCGCCGCCGGCGGGTCTTCTTCCCCTGACGCCATGCTGCACCACCACCACCGCCACCGTCGCCCGTCGGCGAAGAAGGCTCGGGCTTCGCCTTCATCGTCTTACTCAACCCGTTGTCTGCTCGAGAGGAAGATCTACGCCTTCGACCAGGGACATATCAAGGACGGGCTGAGGGTGGTGCAAGAGAAGGCGGCGGCCGTGGGGAGAGTGCTGACGGAGGAGGAGAAGGCCCTCGCCGACAGCGGTCGCGGGGTGGCTCTGGCCATCCAGGACGAGCAGGGCCGGAGGTACTCGGTGTTCTGGCGCAGCCGCGGCTTCGGCTCCACCCACTACATGATGTCCGGCGGCGGCTGGGCCCACTTCGCCGAGAACCACCGGCTGCACACCGGCGACGTCCTCCGCTTCTGCTTCAGCCGCGCGGTGCCCAGGGCAGACTCCGGGAAGCTCTACCTCGGGGTCCGCGTGCTCAAATCGGCGCCCGTCACAGCCGGCGGCGATCTCGCCGTCAAAACCACCGGGGAAGCCGCACAAGCCACTGCCGGCGGCGATCTCGCTATCAAAACCACCGGAGAAGCGGCACCCGGCGTCAAAACCACCGGGGAAGCCGCACCCGCCTTCCAGAAGGAGCCGTCCATGGCGATGCCCGTTCGTGATTGCCCCTCTTGCGACGTGAAGATTCCACCCACACGCCCCCTACATTATTTTTTCTGCGATTACGGAGCTAATTCTCTTCCCCGGAAATCTTCTTCTTGATCGCATCTCTGCTAATGCGAGATTATGAGACAAAGTCCTATAATTGGTTATTCTTACCCCCCCTCCCTCCCCCGCAAGATTTATCCCCTGACAGAGCTGTTAAACAAAAATCAGATTTATCAATTCGTTCCGTAGAAGACTGGCAGATGACGAGCACATCAACTTTTGGGATCAAGATTGGGGTTTTAAGGTTTAAGATTCAGGGTTACACCACAACTCTTTCGACAACAAATAAAAGAGAGGGTGCACAAAAATCGTCAGATTAATTTCTTATCTCGTCGTGAATCACCGCTAGGAAAAATCCTTGGGCAGACACGCTCATAGAAGCTCTCATCAATCATCACCATCCCACGACATACTACTTGTTCTTTTATGCACAGTTATATGATCTATAAGCTCACATTGGCTGGTCCCAGCAGTCCGAAGTAAAAAATAAGGGGTAAAAAAAGGAATAATAGCGCATGAGGAGTATGAGCCGCTGCATTATCTTGATCTTGAATGCGCCATGAAGAGGTCTCATAATGGCCAGCCATATATCCTCCCTGGGAATTTCTTCATCATCTGCGGTGGACTCCATGGTGGCTGCTGTCGCCCTGCTCCGTAAACCCAGCGGCAAACTCCGAGGCGTCCGCCAAGCTTGCCTCGATCGCTGCACTCAGGAGCTTTGCCTCCTCCTCATCTGAGATCCCACCTTCAACATCGATGGAGGGCGCTGGCGCATCGCCTCCAAAGGTAGCATCCTCCTTCTGGCTACAAGGCTTCAGCATCCTCTCAGAACTGGCCAGCATGGACCCACCGCCACCGCCGCTGCTGGAGCCCGCAGTATCATCTGCTTGCGAGCCGCTGTCCAGGGGTTCACCAGTGGTCTGGCAGCCATCGGCAGCAAATGCAGAGGCATCCATCAAGCTGGCCTGTATGGCGGCATTGAGGTCGGCCTCCTCTTCCTGGGAAATCTCGTCCGCATCACCCGCATCAGCTCTCTGTTCAGTGACTCGCTTCTGATTGCATGACTTTGTTATCCTCTCGGCATCCTCAGGTGTGAGCCACTGCCCGAACCCATTCGATGAATCAGAGGGTGGGATCGGACACTCCCCGGGGAAGTTGCCCCTGACCACGAAGATGGTCCAGCCGGAGCTCATTAGAGTCTCTAGATATGCCGAGAGGTAAAACTTGGTGAGATGCTCCGGGGCCGCATAGGTGGCAGATGTACCCATTCTCTCTCTCAGGGTCGTGTTTGGTTGGCTCTGCAACCGGCGAGTCAAGGGGGATAACATGCATATCCCACACCTCTAGAGCCTTCTGTAACACCTGCAACGATAAGCTGTCAGCATCAATGAAGCCCATATGAATCGGGCAGTTTCTTGCTGCATATCAGAAAACATGAATTTCCATTTATTTTTTAGGTAAATTATAATAACTAGAAAAAACGCAAATCCTAGTTGCAACAAACGGGAGCAGTTTAAAACAATAAATTGAAAAGGGTAAATGTATGAGGGGGGTTGGGGGTTATTTGTGACATGACAGATCATAATAAGAAAATGACAAAGAAGGTCCCAAGAGCCTCTTGTACTATGCCACCATCTTCTCTTCTAGGTTGAGGCTAGTAGTGGCAAGTTTGTACTTGAATGAGAGCCTGCACATCAAGAAGTAGAGTTCAGACCCAAAGACACACCTTTCTAGGTTGCAGCCATCAAATTGAGGCATTTTTATTTTTTGCCCATTTCCAGGACTTCTTGAAGGAAGGTGGAGGTTTTATGGCAGTGCTTCTTAGCTTATGTTAGCCCATTTGTAGGTTATATCTATAGTCATTTGAGCCCTAGTCATTAACTAGTTTCGCTTGGAGCCTAGTCATGTGGGATGAAGCTGATCTTCAAAGTTTCAAATCATGTTATGATCACTTGGATTTCACCACATGTCTCCTTATTGGTGAGGAGGACAATTAAAGCCTTTTGAAGTAAATGAGGAACTCAGCCCAGGTCTTCTTATTGTTTCTTAATGAGCTCGATTCGTGCGCCATTGGACTTGGGTGCCATGCTGAGTAGCTTTGATACTAGTTTAATAGGTCCCCTTCTCTTTTTCCTCTTTCTGGTCCTATGTTAGGAAATAGTGATTGGAACATAATCTTAATGAACTTGGACTTGCTTGTTAGCACAACGGAAACTTGAGAGTACAAGTACAATAAGTCTTTTAATATATAAGTGATAATGAAAATGTAGAGTGGGTTATAATAAAGCAGGACTTTGATTAATATAGTTTAAAGAAGATAGACACACTTCACGACTAATAAACTAATGGAGAAGAGAGTAATGACAAAGTCTGAGAAATAAAATACCATAGAGACATAGTTAATAAAGTAGTAATACCAATCACTAATGGAGGAGAGAGAGAACAGAAGGAGGGAGATGATGTCATAACTCCTATTGCAGTTGTTGGAGAGGATTGAGTTTCCCATGCCTTAGATTTATCTATTTCTTCTCACTTTTCTCTTTCCCTAAGCTCCTTTTAAATATAGGTTACATAAAAGGGGCTAGACTATTTTCTGGACGTAAAATAATCATAAGTAAAAGCCAGTAAGAAGGGACGTGGCTCACATGAGTCTTGCTGAATGAAGGATGACCAAGTCACCCTTACAAATCTCCACCTTGACTTGGACATTACGATGATTTTCAAAGTTTCATATTGAAAACTCTATCAACTCCTCATGATTGCAATAGAAGGAAATATAGTGCATACATTTTCTCAAAGATAAAAAGAAGAAGAAGAGAGGTTAGATTTAAGTGTTCTGAATTCCAATCAAGTTCAAACAATGTTGAAACTTTGAAATGGGAAGAGGTTTTGTTAGCATATCAGTTGGATTATCTTCAATACCAATCTTCTACACTAATTTTATCGGAGGATATTATATCACGAATAAAATAATACTTGACATCAATATGTTGTCCTTTCGCAATACATTTGATCTTTGGTCAAATGAATAGCACTCTGACTATCACAATGAACAATAATTGAAACTTGACATGAACATAATTAAGAAAATAATTCTCTTAATCATATAGCTTTCTTTAATGCCTTTGTAAGTGTCATAAATTCTGCCTCTATTATGGATAGAGTAACAGTAGGCTGCAAGAAAGCTTTCCAACTAACAACACATTCACTAATTGAAAATATATAACCAGTTAGTGACCTTTGTTTATCAAGATCTCTTACAAAATCTGAATTAGTAAATCTAGCCAAGATATCACTTATTCTCTCAAATTGTAAACATATATCAATAGTACCTCTCAAGTACCAAAAAATCCACTTAACATCATGCCAATGTGCTTTGCCTAAATTAGTCATATAACGGCTAACTACATTGATTGCATGTGATATATTAGGACGAGTACATATCATAACATACATCATGTTACTTACAATACTAGAGTATGGAACATGTGATATATAATTTTCATCTGTTGGGGACTGTGGTGATAGAAATTTTGAAAGCTTGAAATGAGTAGCAAATGGAGTATGAACATGGTTAGCATCCCACATATTAAAATGCTTAAGTACTTTCTCAATATACTTAACTTAGGATAAGTACAGTTTACTTTCACTTCGACTTTTATAGATCTCCATTCCGAGAATTTTCTTAGTTGTTCCTTTCATCTCAAACTCACTATTGAGTAAAGCTCTCAATTTGCTGATTTCAAATAGATCTTTTACTACGATCAATATATCGTCGACATAAAGTAACAAATAAAGGAAGAAATAATTTGATAACTTTTTAAAGTAAACATAATTGTCAAATTTACTGCGAGAGAATTCATGTTGTGTCATAAATGCATCAAATCTCTTATACCACTATTGTGGAGATTATTTGAAGCCATAGAGATTTCTTCAGTAAAAAAATATAATTCTCTTTTCCTTCAACAAGAAAGCTTTTTGATTGTTGCATATAAATATGTTCTTCAAGATTGCCATGAAAAAAGGTTGTTTTAACATTCATCTGTTTTAACTTTTAGGGGCAGACATCCTTTCTCTAGGATATAAAATTACAGCTTCATCAAAAATAACATTTTTCTCATTTAAAAGCTTAGGAGATTTAAGATAAGGAAGCTATAACCTATATCATTTGACTCTAGAGGCATAATCGAGGAAGATACACTTCTTAGCTCTAGGCTCCAACTTGTCATGGACAAACAAAGATTTTTAAGTATGAATAATTAAAAGGGTTACTTGACCATGCTTCTTCAAGAGCTTTGAAGTTAATGATGAAGGTTGGAGATTTGTTCAGAAGATGACATGCTGTAGACACTACTTCTACTCAAAAGTCTTGACCAAGACCTATAGATAATAATAAACAACGGGCTCGTTCTAGTAGAGTTTTATTCATTCTTTATGCAACTTCATTTTGCTGTGGAGTATAATGAATTGTTTTATGCTTGACAATACCTTCATTTTTGTAAAAATCATTAAATTCAATAGAGCAAAACTCTAGATTATTGTCAGTTCTCAACCTTTTGATTTTTTTTCTAGTTTGTCTTTCAAGCAAAGCCTTCTATTACTTAAAATGTACAAAAACTTCAAGTTTATACTTAAGCATGAATACCTAAGCTTTTCAAGAAAAATCATCAATAAATGATAGAAAATAACGAGCAGCACTTCTTGAAGGGACACGAGAAAGACCCCAAAGATCTAAGTGGATATAATCAAGAGTACTTTTGGTCTTGTGAGTTATCATTTAGAAAACTTTTTTATGTTTACTTAAAATACAATACTCATAAAATTCAACCTTCTTAATACTTTGCTCACAAAGCAAACCTCTCTTGCTTAATAGATCCATTCCTTTCTTGCCCATATATCTCAACCTCATATGTCACAATTTGGTGACATCTTCTTTTGTCATTGAGGTAGATGCTGTAATAACTGAATCAAAAATAGTGGTCCTTAATAGGATGTAGAGGATACCACATCTTTGTCTTTTCATCACAACAAGGGCTCATTTGTTGACTTTTATGACCTCATTTTCACTTGAATATTTGCAACCATTAGCTTCAAGTGTGCCTAAAGAAATGAGATTTTTCTTCAAATCGAGAACATGCCCGACATTAGATAATATTTTTGTGATACAATCAAATATTTTGATATGAATTGTGCTAATACCAATAGTTTTACAGAAGACATCATTTCTTATTAAGACATTTCTACCATTGATTTGCTCATAAGTAGAAAAATACTTTCTATGAGCAGTCATATGATATGAACAATCTATATCTAAGATCCAATCATCTTTGGATCTGATGGTATGAACAGAAAGAACAAAATCATGAGTCTCGTCTTTGGCAACACTAGTTTGTGCTGAACTTTCAACACGATTAAACTCTTTGTAGTCTTCTTGCTGCCTTCTCTTGAGTTTATAACAATCAACCTTCACATGTCCTTTCTTGCGACAATAATTACATAACTTATTTTTAGATTTTGATTTGGATCTTGACTCACTCTTGTTTCTCCCTTAACTTTTCTCCTTAGGTCTACCTATTGCAAAAAGACCTTCAGATTATTGTCCTTTTGTAGTAGTCATATCTTTGACAATCAACTCTTTCGAAAACAAAAAAGATTTAACATCTTCAATAGGTATGGTATCTCTACCATATAATAAAGTTTCTCAAAAGTGTCTATATGGTGGTAAAAAACATAACAAAAACATGGCTTGGTCTTCCTCTTTTATCTTTCATCAATATTTTTTAAATCTAGTAAAATAAAATTGAACTCATCAAGGTGAGCTTTACTTGATGTACCTTCTATCATCTTGAGTAGGAATAGACGTTGTTCCAAAAATAGTTTGCTAATGAGCGATCTAATCATATACAGCGACTCTAACTTCAATCATAGTGCAGCTGTTGTAGTTTCATGAATGACCTCACGTAAAACCTCATAAGATAAACTAAGTTGAATGACAGCAAAAGCTTTTTCGTGTAATTCTTATTTTGCTTCCATAGACATAGTGTTTGACATTTTCTCTTTTCTTAATAATACTTTATGTAGCTCTTAGTAGGTCAAGAGGGTTCTCATCTTGACTTACCATATTCTTAAGTTGATGCTTCAGTCAAACTTCTCAATATCAAACTTAGTAGACATCTTGTATCTCTATTTGTGCTGAAATAAGACTCTAACCAAACTTTGATATCAATTTGTTAGGAAATAGTACTTGGAACAAGATCTTAATGGGCCTGAATTAACCTATCAATACAACGAAAACTTAAAGAGTATAAATACTGCAAGTCTTCTAATATATAAATGATAATGAAAATATAGAATGAGTTGTATTAAAGTAGGACTTTAATTACTATGGTCTAAAGAGGATAAACATACCTCACAACCAGTAAACCAATAGAGAAGAGAGTAATAACAAGGTCTGAGGAATAGAATACAATAAAGACAGAGTTAATGAAGCAATAATACTAGCCACCAGTGGAGGAGAGAGAGAACAAAAGGAAGGAGATGATGTTGTAACTCCTGTTGTAGCCGCTAGAGAGGATTAGGTTCTTCGTGCCCTAGATTTGTCTATTTTCTCTCACTTTTCTCTCTCCCAAAACTCTCTTTAAATACAGGTTATAAAAAAAGGACCGGACTGTTTTCTAAACAAAAAACAATAATAAGTGAAAGCCCAGTAAGAAGGGACGTGGCCCACATGGGCCTTGCTGAATGAAGGATGACCAAGTCACCATTACATCTTAGTTGAGCATTGAATCTTTCTCATGATACTGTCTATTAAGACTTAGATGCGGAGAGATCTCACTATAGAAGTCACAGGTCAGTCACGATAATAGAGGGCCACGATAAGAGGACAGGTGGGAGAGAGTAGAGAGTGAGAGGGAGAGTACTCTGTGATAAGGAAATAAAGATAATGGTCAAAGAAAGAGAGTACGAGAGAGAGAGAGAGAGTGGGGTCGAATACCCTGATACAGACCGCTTCGAGGGGGTCGACCTCCAACTACTTTCTTCTACCAGGAATACTGTTATCCCCTCTTCCACTTCGCCCTCGCCCCCGTCTTTACAATCTTCTTATTTCCTCATAATCAGGTACCTGCCATCGACAGGCGCGAGCTGCTTCTCGTCCATGCTGGTCCTATCCTTCGATACTTATCAGGTTCCTCGCCGACGAGTATCTCGTCATCAATCAACGGCCGAATGACAAGATTGTTCCCTAAAGTCCTTCAGATGATGTCTGCGAAAGATGCATGAAGTTAATTCGAAAAAGCAAAGCATCCAACAACTGCATTTCAATGCACATACCTATTTAGTTGTTTCCGCCGGAAAGTCCTAATCAAACACAGGCCAAAAACTTATAGGAACCTGAAAAAATAAAATTCCAGAATTCACCTTTCCTTCTCATCGTTCGGAAGACAGAAAGAACATATCAGTTGCCAAGAATTCAATGCCACAAGAATAACATAAAATCAACGAGCACTGCAGAAAGACATTGACACTGAAAAGTCAAACAAGAGAGAGATGCCGCCACCCTCGGACGCCTAACACCGTCGACTCGCCGCCCGCCCTTAATCTCCCGCAGGGCCCTACCCCTCCTGGTTCGCTCTCATCCTGTCTCTCAAGGGGCATCACTGCGTGCCTTGATGTGGGTCCAGTCTGTTCTGCTTCGTCATCCTCGTTTGGTCTAGCAGTTTAACTATGCGAATTGTTGACCCTAAATCTTCGACTGATCGTTACTCACGTGCTCTGACAGCGCTGCAATCGTATTATCAACCCGGTCAAATACTCGATAATTAGCTTTTGTCCATCGATGGGTCTGGTTAGCCCGGCGTCCGGTTCTACATTGTGTTGACCAGAATACACAGAGAGAGAGAGAGAGAGGAAGGATCTTTCCATAGCAATGGGACTGTGAGGATGGCGCGTATGTTTCAGATTCGGGCCGTTGTGTATTCATCTTTTTTCCCACGTCATGACACTTCGTCTGCTTTCGCCGTTGGGCTCGTCCCACCAAAGAAGGGACCGCGCGATATTCGCAGAGAGAGAGAGAGGGCGTTAGAGCGGGCGAGATAAACGCGGAGGGGATATTGCAGCTTCCCGGGTTTCTAAACACCAACGTGCCATTTAAATACCGCCCAGGCGCCGCGGTAAACAGATGGAATACAGAACCTGAGGGAGCTCTCTATAACCCCCCCGCCCCTCCTCTCTCCTCCTCTTGAAACTCTCTCTGTGGCGGGAAGATCATGGGGTGGCGCTATACTACCAGAGATGCGTCGCCGAGCCCGCCGCCTCCTTCATTCATCCGCCACGGGAAGAGCACCACCCTCGACGGGAAGCGGGCCCCGGTGAAGCGCGCCGCCGGTGGGTCTTCTTCCCCTGACGCCATGCTGCACCACCACCACCGCCACCGTCGCCCGTCGGCGAAGAAGGCTCGGGCTTCGCCTTCATCGTCTTACTCAACCCGTTGTCTGCTCGAGAGGAAGATCTACGCCTTCGACCAGGGACATATCAAGGACGGGCTGAGGGTGGTGCAAGAGAAGGCGGCGGCCGTGGGGAGAGTGCTGACGGAGGAGGAGAAGGCCCTCGCCGACAGCGGCCGCGGGGTGGCTCTGGCCATCCAGGACGAGCAGGGCCGGAGGTACTCGGTGTTCTGGCGCAGCCGCGGCTTCGGCTCCACCCACTACATGATGTCCGGCGGCGGCTGGGCCCACTTCGCCGAGAACCACCGGCTGCACACCGGCGACGTCCTCCGCTTCTGCTTCAGCCGCGCGGTGCCCAGGGCAGACTCCGGGAAGCTCTACCTCGGGGTCCGCGTGCTCAAATCGGCGCCCGTCACAGCCGGCGGCGATCTCGCCGTCAAAACCACCGGGGAAGCCGCACAAGCCACTGCCGGCGGCGATCTCGCTATCAAAACCACCGGAGAAGCGGCACCCGGCGTCAAAACCACCGGGGAAGCCGCACCCGCCTTCCAGAAGGAGCCGTCCATGGCGATGCCCGTTCGTGATTGCCCCTCTTGCGACGTGAAGATTCCACCCACACGCCCCCTACATTATTTTTTCTGCGATTACGGAGCTAATTCTCTTCCCCGGAAATCTTCTTCTTGATCGCATCTCTGCTAATGCGAGATTATGAGACAAAGTCCTATAATTGGTTATTCTTACCCCCCCTCCCTCCCCCGCAAGATTTATCCCCTGACAGAGCTGTTAAACAAAAATCAGATTTATCAATTCATTCCGTAGAAGACTGGCAGATGACGAGCACATCAACTTTTGGGATCAAGATTGGGGTTTTAAGGTTTAAGATTCAGGGTTACACCACAACTCTTTCGACAACAAATAAAAGAGAGGGTGCACAAAATCCTCGGGCAGACGCTCATAGAAGCTCTCATCAATAGTCGCCATCCCACGACATACTAGTCTTTTTTTACACAGTTTTATGATCTATAAGCTCACATTGGCTGGTCCCAGCAGTCCAAAGTAAAAAATAAGTGGTAGAAAATGGAATAATAGCGCATGCAGGGGTATGAGCCGCTGCATTATCTTGATCTTGAATGCGCCATGAAGAGGTCTCATAATGGCCAGCCATATATCCTCCCTGGGAATTTCTTCATCAGCTGCGGTGAACTCCATGGTAGCTGCTGTCGTCATTGCTCCCTAAACCCAGCGGCAAACTCCGAGGCATCCGCCATGCTAGCCCGATCGCTGCACTCAGGAGCTTTGCCACATCCTCATCTAAGATCTCACCTTCAACATGAATTGAGAGCGTACCGTTCTTCATCAACTCAGGAGTTTTGGACGCATCGCCTCCGAAGGTAGCATCCTCCTATTGGCTACAAGTCTTCAGCATGCACTAAGAACTGGCCAGGATGGACCCGCCGGGCCTGCGGCTGCCGGAACCCATAGTAGCATCTGGTCGAGAGCTGCTGTGCTGGGGTTCAGCAGTGGTCGGGCAGCCATCAGGAGCAAATGCGGGGGAATCCATCAAGCTGGTCTATATGGCGGCATTGAGGTCTGCCTCCTCTTCCTAGTAAAACTTGTCAGCATCACCTGCATTGACTGTCTGTTCAGTGACTCGCTTCTAATTGCAAGGCTTTGTTATCTTCTCGGCATCCTCAGGTATCAACGACTGCTCGAATCCATTCGACGCATCAGAGGGTGGGTGATGTGGGACAAGATGATAAAAGTGTCTAAATTACCTTGGATAAGTAATTTAGTCTAGATTCTTACAAAGTTTAAGGATTAATAAAGTTAACTAATGTTTTACGTAATATTTGAAATAAAAGATTGACACGATTTAGAAATCACCAATGATTAGCTTGATCTACTGTCAATAAACTAATAAGTGCAAATCAAATGGGTATCTCTCTATTCTCACCACCAGCTATGTGTGAAAGTGGCCAATGTAGGATTTCTCCACGGCAATATAATGAGATAATATACAAAATAAACAAACTACTGAAAATTAGAAAGAAGATTCATTTAGTATGGACCCGTTGACATGGTTGAAGGGGATTATGACTCAGACCAAACAAGGCAGCTGGTGTGCACCTGGCAGTCTGATTGGTTAAGATCGGTAGTGGGCCTTTAAACCCTACTAGTGGATTTTTGAGTCAGTTTGGTTTGGGCTTGTGGTTCACAGTAGCGTTAACTGGTTGCCTTTAAACCCTACTAGTGGGAGGAAAGGGGTGACTGACAATTCGTGCAGGTAGGAAAAGGGAAGGTGGTGGCGATGGAAGCAGCACAAGACAAGCAAAGATATGGATAGTGACAACAATGAGACAACATGTGCAGACGTAAAGACAGGTACCAACAGAAGAACAGGCGAAGGCAGAGGTAGGGATAGTGATAGGTGATGCTGGTGATGCAAGTGATGTTGGTGAGCTTTCCTAAGAAGAGGAGGTCGACCTCAATGCCACCATATATACCAGCTTGATGGATTCACTTGCATTTGCTGCCAATGACTGCCCGATCACTATTGAACCTTTGCATAGTAACTCGCAAGTGGACGATATTGTGGGCTCTAGCAGTAGTGGTGGTAGCAGTTCTATGTTGGCCAATTCTGAGTTGTAGCCAAATGAGGATGTTAGTAATGTTTTCATTATCATATGTTAATAATTAATTAATAATATATTTTAAGCCTTAATTCATGATCAATATACTTAAGTTTGTGTTAAATTATGAACATAGGTTTCTAGTTGATTAATGTTAATTTTTAATTAAGTATGTGATTTTATGTGAATTATATATATTATTCTTATTCTTGATAATAATGAAAAAAAAAAATAGAAAAAAGAAAACATGTTGACTAGTCAAAACCCGACGACTAACCTAAAAGATATTGCATGTATCAAAGGCACATGCTGGGAGAGGCACGAGCCAAGGGGCTCGAGTAGCTAAGGGACCCATGCAAAGCACATGTGCATCACTCCCTTTCCACATCATCGAGAGCCAACCAAGCGTGAGACAAGGAGTGGTCATACACACGTGTGTATGTGAGGGTGGACCACCTAGCTTAGTCCTCTCCATAAGTGGTCGTAACTATTTTGTTTCCAAGAGAGGGAACTTGAAGGTAAAAAGGCATATTGGTATGTATACATCTTATATTTTAGAAAATAGTTGATGTGTGACTAAACCCACACCACTAGTTGTTGTCACATTTTTAAAATTTTATACCTAAAATACTCCTTATGTTATAAGAAAAAACTACCCTTATGATGCCATTGGGCAAAGGTATTCATGTATTTATCTCTCTCTCTCATGTAGGCAAACAATTGGTAAAGCTTTGAATCTCATTAGAGTCAAATTTCATATCTTTGACCTATTTAACTCTTGATTTTTCTACAAAGTGCTAGTCAAAATCAAGTTATTTGAATCATTAGGTGATCGACAAAAAATTACAATTATTTAATTGTAATTATCAAGAAAAAGATAATTCACCAAGAGAAGATTTGTTCTCTCTTTAGAGTGAAACTGAATGTAATACAAGCGTCCTCTCATTGTGTGGACTTGAGTAAGAAACTATTTAAGACATGTTTCACCTTCATTCAACTCATCTCCATTGGATGATAGTTGTCAGAGATTCAAAACCTGTCAAATTTTCACTCCACAAGGTAATAATCATTAGAGATGATTCATCAACTCATTTCATCAAAATTATTCTTTAATCAATTACAATTCTTTTAGCTTTTATAAATCTTAATTTGGTCAATTAAATCATCTATAATCACTTACATAAGAATCATTAAGTGGAACTCTATTTTTTACTTAAATCTTGTTTGTTAAGGTACTACATCATCTTACAAACAACATCTAAATTTCTCCTTTTTAAAAAAATATTAAATAGATTTCTCTTCATTATTTAATCTAAAAATTATAAAAAATTATATTTTTTGACAAAAATTCTAAAAGTTTACTCGATATTATCTTACATCAATATGATCAATTTGAATTTTATTTTAATTTTTAGAACCACTTATTAAATTATAATTTATTTATTTATGATAAAATACTTTTAAATATATAAAAATTAGTAATTTTTAGTTTTATAAATTTTAAATTTGTATGATTATTGTACAATGATTAAACCACATCAGCTACCTTTGAAGGTGATGCATTTGAAGCTTAGTTGATGAAGAATGATACGTCTTCTATTGATGTTGATTTAGCAATAATCAAAGTAAAAGTTCAATCTAGATAAACTTGTGGTTGTTGGGTTTGGTGTGACTAAGTACCAAGAATGAGGGTAAATTAGTTTCTTATATTTTTATAGATGTGTATATATGTAGAAGCGTATTCTAACATAGTTTATAAAGTTTATATACAAATTAATCTAAGGCTTTTATCTTCATCATGTAATCTCTCTCTCTCAATAATGATGGACACAAAGATTTATATTAATTCACCTTTCCCTAGGCTATGTCTAGTACCAAAAGAACTACCTACCAGATTTCTACTATTTCTCACAAAAAGTATAACTAACTTTATAGGCTCAATTCACCTAACACAACTATTTGATCTCCACATAGATCTTACCCCTAATGGACAAAATCTTAACTTACATCACCATGTGCTTAAGTTAAGGTACAATTTATTTAGAGAATAGCAACCTCTACGGGTGGATTTCAACTTTCAACTCCTCATGCTTTAATAGTACATTTCTTCACTCACCACTTAAGTTACCTTAGGACATGATAGAGAGAAGTAACATTCAACTTAGTTATTTGATTTGTAAGTTATCATATATAATAGAGTAGGATGAAGTTTTGATTATTTTCTTTTGGGACACGTAGTCACTTTATTGTGGACAGTTGAGTGGATCTTCTAATTGAACTTGTGTGAGTAATATAGATAAATTATTTCTTTATTTAGTGTTCAACTCATGTATCTTTAATTTGTTATCTGTATACACCAATGGATCTATTTTTTCAATATCTGAAAATAGTTATATTAATTTGAATATATTTTCATTATTTTTTACTTTTAAGTTTCCTACTTTGCTAATAGCTATTTGTGATATCTTATCTAGAGATTCGTAACTTATTGATGAACATTTTATCTTTAAGGGTTGTACTCATAAGAGATTGTTTGACTTATCTTTAGTTTACGTCTTCTACTAATGAGTGGTCACCTAAAATATGTACTTATGACCTTCAATCATACTTTAATTTAAATATTTCTACTCGTAGATATATCATCTTTGATATTGTATTTGGAGATCCTCAATTGATCAGCAAATATCTTTGTATTCAAGGTCAAACTAGGATAATATTATTAAACTTGATATTTAATTCATAAATTCTAATGGTGTGCTATCATCTAGAGTGTGCAAGGTTGACTTTGAGTCTTTATTTGTTTTAAAACATGCAAGTCTTCTACATATAGTCTTCAAAGCTTATATTTAAAGATACATGCTACTTCAACAATTAATTTACTCTTGATATTAAGATTAAGTTTGGTCATTTTCACTTTGTCATTTTCTCCATATAAAACTTTGACATGTCACTATGCATGTTCTCCACCTCTTTCTTTACTTTGTACAGATAGTCCAACTCAATTGTTTTATGGGTCATGAGTTTGAGTCTTCAATCACATATCACATATTTTTA